TCTCTCTCTCTCTCTCTCTCTCGTGTGTGTGTGTGTGTGTGTGTGTGTGTGTGTGTGTGTGTGTGAGCACACATACCACACAGCCCATGTATGCTGGTCAGAGACAGCTTTTGAAAGTTGGTTCTCTCTGTCCACTACGTGGGTTCACGGGTTCAAACTCAGGTCGTCAAGCTCGGTGACAAGCACCTTTACCCACTTGAGCCATCTTCCTGGCCTCAGATTACTTTCAATATCTATGATAATAAAAGTGCTGCTTCAGTAGTTACGTTACTTGGGAATAAGGAGAAAGGAAAAATCTGTATGAGATCAATACAGAAGCAATTTTTCCCCCTGAGTATTGACTGAATCCATGGATGCAGATTCACGGTTAGAGAGAGCTGACTGTCTACATTTCACCCCTAAATCCCGGGAGTGTAATAAAATAAGATAAACGGGACACCTGAAAGCCCCTGCTTCATTGTGCCATGAAGAAGGGTTGGGGGATTCATGAGAAGTCTTTCAGCGGGCCTGTAGGGAAGTGGTTTTGTGGAGATCAGTAGATCAGCAATCATGTCAAGGAAGGTAGGAATCAGTTTCCTCACTGCAGTGGCCCACACCTCTAATCCCAGTACTCAGAGGCAGAGGCAGGCAGATGCCTCTCTGTGAGTTTGAGGCCAGCCTGGTCTACATAGGCAGTTCCAGGCCAGCCAGAGTGCCATAGAGAAATCCTGTCTTAACAAACAAACATGCAAAATTAGAGCTAGGATGGACCCTGTGGTGGTGTACTGAGGGAATGTATGGGTGGGCGCTCTCAGTTTTCAGTCTCCAGAAATGGGTGTATTGATAAACGCATGTATGTGCACATGTGTATTTCCTACTTTGATACACTGAGATGACTCAAGAGCGATGGAACCCCACAAACAGCAGCCCACAGCCCACACCTTTGTTTCTGACCATTCTGCACTAACAGAGCTCATTTGAGAAAATGAATGGAGCCCTACACAGTAAGAGAAGCCCAGAACATTCTTATACCAAGAACTAAGGAGGTTCTCATTGGATCATGGGGAGACGCTAAGATGATACAGATGTTAGCTTACTTGGGACAGTGAAGTAAGTCACTTTATAGAGAAGAAAGTTCACAAGCGCTATATTGATCAAGTGACCAAACACCACCAGTGAGGGGACAGACCACATCCTGTGCTGCCTGATGAGACACAGGACACAGCATTGCTTCTGTGATATTTTGACCAAAAGGGACCATCCTGAGTCTAATCAGGAGGAAACATTGCACAAACCAATAGGACGCTATTTCTCAAAATGGCCGGTCTACAATCTTACAAAGAGTCAATGTCATGTTAAGGAGAGACCCAGGAAGAGCTCTGATTGGAGGAGGCTGGAGACTGACAAGTGGTTTAACCATGTAGTTTTAAGTTGGCTCCTTTGACTAGAAGCATGTTACAAAAATTGTGAAGAGGTTAATTAGAAAAGCTAAAAGGAATCTTGAGCAAAGGGTGTATGAGAGTTCTTTGTACACATTTCGCAATTTTCAGAGTGTATGAGAGTTCTTTGTACACGTTTTGCAATTTTCTCCAAGTTTAAAATCATTGAGCCAGAGAGATGGGTTAATGGTTAGGAGAGCATATTGCTCTCAGTTTCCAGCACCACATCAGGTGGTTTGTCATCTGTAACTCCAGCTTCATCTCCAGGAGATCACACACCCTATTCTGGCCTCTGTGGGTACCCACATCCTCATGGTGTGCACACACAAACACAGGCACACAGACGCATATATACTGGCTGGTTTTGTGTGTCAACTTGACACAAGCTAGAGTCATCAGAGAGAAGGGAGTCTCAGTTGAGGAAATGCCACCATGAGATCCAGCTGTAAGGTATTTTCTCAATTAGTGATCAGTGGGGGAGGACCCAGCCCATGGTGGGTGGTTCCATCCCTGGGCTGATGGTTCTGGGTTCTAATGAAGAGCAGGCTGAACAAGCCATAGGGAACAAGCCAGTAAGCAGCTCCCCTCCAGGGCCTCTGCATCAGCTCCTGCCTCTAGGTTCCAGCTCTGCTTGAGTTCCTGTTCTGACTTCCTCCAATGAAGTGTAAGCCAAATAAACCCTTTCCTCTCAACTTGCTTTTTGGCCACGGTGTTTTGACGAAGCAATAGAAACCCTAACTAAGACAACGCACAACTTTAAAAATCATTTTGAACTAAACAAATTAAGAAAAGCAGCAGTGGGTAGGGGATTCTAGACTGAGTCCAGTTCTGACATTTCATGTCCCAACACCAGGGCCTGGTGATACTGGCCCGGAGACAGTGGACACAGAGGGAGTTCAGCCTTCAGGGATAACCTGGGATAGGACGGGAAAGATAGGATTATTCAAATACACCTTTGCAAGACTTTGTGCTGCTTCCGTGGATTGAGTTAATACTTTCCCCCCACGGAGGCTGCCTCTGAACTCACTGTGTAGCCCAAGATGACTTTGAACTCCTGATCTTCAAGTCTCCTCTTTTAGGGTGCTAGGATTGTAGTCTGGTTTATGTGGCCCTGGGGACTGTATTTTTATAATTTTGGAGAAGGGATTTCACTGAATGGAGGAGAGTCTGACTATCCAGATGGAGGCTTCTGGCGACTCCAGTGCTCTGGGGGGGGGGGGGGAGTGGCTGCCTGGACAGCAGCTGAAGGTAAGGCCATCCCGGAACACGAAGGGCTTAGAGCAGCCTAGCCAGCACACTGGCCTGATCAACAGGCTAAAAAACAGTGCAGTAAAAAAACAAAATAAAACAAAGCAAAACACCAAAAACAAACCAAAAAACAAAACAAAACAAAACAAATAACCCCAAAGGCAATCTGAAGGTCCTAGCTGATGTTCCCTTCCCCTTCTGAGGTGTGATCTTAGGGTTAAGAGTGAAATTTGGCCAACTTAACAAGTCACCTCAAGATTGACCAAGGTCATTCAGGTCATTTGTGCACCAACTTCAATTTTGGCTGCCAGTGGCGATGACCCAAGAAGATTTGAAAAACTGTCTGTGCCCGGCACCTACTCCATTTGGATAGGGGGCGGGGCCTGGTGCTAGTGTGCTCATTTGCATAAGTCTACTAAAGCTTCATCCTCAACCTGTTGGTTTCTCTGTCTGTTCTGTGGTGGTCTCTCTTCCCACCCATCTGTTCTGACAGGAACCAGACATGTTCCTGTGTCCTCATTTTTACCAGTCAGTCCTGAAATTCCAGCTCTGAGATCCCCCACGGTGACCCTCTCCCTCTGTCACCGCCATCTTGTCTCTGCATGAAGTAAGCTTGTCTTGGCTAACCTGCACATCTCCCAACTCTTCTCAACTCCGACATTGCTTGCCATCTCCCTCATGGGTCTTGCACTCTTTCTAAAACAGGAGCCTGGCTCCCAGGGTTCCTCAGGATCCCTTGAACTTTTTGCATGACTCATGTGTCCCCGTTCACGACATGACCACACTTATACCTTTAGCTCCTTTCTCAAGAGAATGCCTGGTCTTAGCCCTTGGAAAGCAGAGGCAGAAGGGTTGTTAATTCAAGGTCAGTCTGGGCTACATAGCAAGACTGTCTCAAAAAACAAACAGACAGACAGCAGACCAGCAACAAAACCCCCAAGACCCCTCAGTATTATTTGATCATGTCCTCTGAATTGCGTTAGGGCTTTCAAAAAGTTCTTTCCTGTCCCTGGAATTCCTCCTCATCTTTTAGTTCCCGGTTGAGGCT